AAAACTTACTGATTAGGCAAACTGTGATGTCGGCGAAATATCTGGGAAGGTACCAAGTCCACGGTCTAACTCTGGAAATTATCATGCTTATTATGAACTCTGGACAAGGTGCATTCCTCTTAGTCTTCTTGTCAATATGACCAAGTTGCGAAACCAAGGTCAAAAAACATCTACACGACGAAAGGAGGCCGCGACCATACAAAAGGCCACACCATCTTGATCTTCATACCTGCAAAGGGACTTATCGTCAGATTTGAATACAATCTCAGGCATGCTTATCAAATACATAAGGGTTAACTTGAAGAGAAGCTCACATATTAATTTTTTAATTTCTAATATTTATTCATTATGAATTCTTAAAATATGAATAGTCCATATTTTCCATCGCTTTTACGCAGGCCTTAAATGTCTTTACCAAAAGTGTCGTATCATGGAAACTACCTTACCAATTGAATATTTAGTAAAATAAATATAAATTTACGTTTGGCCAACAGTCATTTATAAAATAATTAGAGATTAATCACAGATTTAATCTAGTTGCAACAGAGGAGGGCCAGGTGCTTATATTTCTGGCGAACAATTCGAGCAGTGTAAGGTGTAAATAAAGAAATAAACATAAGAGGAATGTTGGCGATAACCATCATTCGATTTGGCTAAAATTACATAAATACGAATCGATCCTTAAAGAATGTACATAGAGCATCGTGTAAACCGACGCCTCTAAAGCGTTGCCAAATGAATAGTGTGAAACGGATGAGCATAAACGCCCTTCACACCAAAAGTGATGTTAGGGCAAAGTTTTATAGATTGGTCCGTGAAAATGTGAACTGTACTTCAGAAGAATAAGGATTAGAGTTGGAATATGGATATAATCGTGCATTTACTAACCCCGAATGAGTATAGCAGTTAGTGGATTGCCAATAATTCTGAGGCATATAACCTAGGAGAACCGGCCCATGGGATTATGACAACCAGAATTTACCACCGTCAGGAAGAGAATAAATTATACTTAAGCAGGTGTGATATAACGCCCACATAACTAGATTACAGATCCTTTCCTATGAGAGAGACGAGGTTGGAGAAGTCAGTTCTACCTCAGATTACTCAAATAGTCCAAATAACTCTTAGGCCGTATTTCGTCCCGGCCCTGATCCCCTATACCTAAGTGGTGACTCCTGATGGTGTTTTTGAGCCTAAGCGAGGTCGAGACCGTGAACTCTTCTGAATAATTTCGCATCTTTAGAATAAATGTATAATGGTCACTCAAACAAACATGAGTAAAGAGCATAAAGGTTTCTTTTTAAGAGCACATGGAATTTATGGAAAACGTTATACTCAGTAATATGTCCTTCATATATATATATATAATTTAGTCCACACAGAAAATACAGTATTTTGATAAATAAAAATAGAATAAATTATAAATTAATTTGCACATTTTCTATCTCTAAGGACGTTATTAGCAAGATTTATCAATAAAATGCTTCCTAATTATAGCCTTCAATATAGAAATTTGTCTGTTCACAGTAAGGACGATTGATCTATGCTCCGAACACTTTTCTGGGACCATATGAATGCTTCCTATCAAGAATGGTGGCAAAGAACCCGTTATTGAAGTTGGAATCTTAAGAGAAGTTATGATGCTTTAACTGACGATGAAAATAGGCATAAATTTCTAAAGAATGGATGTATGTTTTTAGCCAATAGGCCGGTAATAAATTTCTTGAAAACTACTTATACCGAAAAGGAAATTATTATCAAAATCAAGTAATACCAGGTGAATGAAACTGGGAAGTTTTACCCAAATTGCTTATTTAAGTTTTGTATACCCCAATCGAAATCAAAGAGCTCCTATAGCAATCCATAGCACTAAAGAGGGAGCTAATATCTTAAAGGGGAAAATGTTGCCGCTAAATTTCATCTTAACATAATAGCACCGATTGCTTATGATACGAACCAAATGACCCCTCAATGGTCAGTTTCTCACTAAAAAAAGATTAAAATCAAGGTTTAATTTAAATGGCGACTTGGAACTGGTCATGCCTACAACAACACTTAACTAAGAATAGGCCCAAGTAGGAACCACTAAAAATGATCTCTGCTACGAAATCCCATCTTTTCTTATCCTTTCCAGTTAGAGAACAATCAATGGTTCACTTTAATTCCGAAGTTTGATCCTTCTTTCAGTGAGCCAGGCAACAGGTATTGAAGGATTATTATTAGTAGTAGTATGCAGCTGCTGCAACCCAGAGGAATTTTATATCAAAATCAGAATAATTGCAAGTTTCTGAAATTAAATCGCAAAAAGAAAATATCCACATTCCGCACTCTAATTTGTAGTTACCATACAATGTGCTTAATACCTTCCTTCATTTTACCAGAACAAGAGATAGCGGAAGCATAACTAGTCCAAACATAAAAATAAAAACATAAATTCCGAATAGAACCAAAGCAAAAATAATAAAATCGGAAATATTCTTCCATAAAAATATCACAAACAATGCTAGAAAACCAAATTGTTTTCTATGTCCTGGTAAATTAGGCCTCATTAAAAATCCAATACTAGATGAAATACTGGTAAAATATAAAAATCCTAAGAAACGTCTAAGCATAAAAAACCGCAAAGCATTGAGAAGCAAATCAAAATTTAAAAAGTCTTAACTCATCCTGAACTAGAAAAGAAACTTGAAATAATATGAGAAAAGAAATCCGGGCCACACATCGTGATTAAAAATACAAAAAATGCACCTGTTGTAAAACTATAGATCGAATACGAAAAAAACAACAATACAATCACTTTCACGTCAATCGACCTTAATTAAGCTAAGCAATGCATATAGTGTATTTAAAATTATATTAAACAGATATATTAAAAAGATAAAATATAAATCTGATCAGAAAACAAGATCCAGAAAACTTCATTACACGAGGCTAGCCGATGCCATTTCATGAAACGCATGAAAAAAAGCATCATCCTGGGTAGTCATCGCAAGAAGTCCAACCGACATAATTCACACAGACTGACTGGTCGAGCCATACTTACTTGACGCGGTCTCTAGTCGGAAACTGTCATATTTGCAGTTGTAACTCGACTCAAGGGCAACATCCATCAATTCAACTACCAGCGCACGATAAGCAGACGTCGCCTCTACCAGCCAACTGCAGTCCATGTCAGACAAGTAGCTCTCTGGATAGCCGGCGGTGCTAAGGCTGTATACCTCGAGAGGACCCTCCTTAATCCGGATATTGACGCTGCAGCCTTTTAAAGATGAGGACGGAGCATAGCAAATGGAAAATAAAGGCAAATTTCTAGACAGTTTTATGCCTGAGATAGTCAATTTCATTGAAAATAGGAGACTGAGTTTTAGCGCTTTGTCTCTGGAATTCTTCAACATATGAAATGAATTCACCCTATTTGGTTTAATGTGATGTAGGACCTGTAGTAGAGTTTTCCTACAATGTTACGAGTAGAGCTGACGTTTCCATTGAATTTCACATAGCCTTGCTTTCCAAAAAGTCTTTCTCATCAAGGATGGACTACAGTTTCGACCTCGCATAAGTCGATGCTAAATTCAATGGAAGCGTCAACTCTACCCATATCATTGTGGGAAAATTCTACTACCAGTCCTTCATCCCCTTAAACGAAATAGGATGAATACATCTTATATAACTTACTTATTTTTTTATATAACTGATTTACTGGTGGTTTCGAGGTCATACTAATGAACGAAAAATAATTAATACAATCTATTGTTATAGCAGAGATAAATTTGCCTTATTGGCAATCCCAACAAAGAGTGTGATATAAGAAAATGCCTGGCCTTCCTTGAATTTCATATCTGCCATGTGACCAAAGGGCACTCGTGGCAATGTGACGGAGTGGTTATCGTGTCGAGATTTCACGCTGCACTGTCATGGCTT